AGGCCGTCCCCATCACTTGACAGACCGTCCCAAGTGCCGTCAACAGCGCGGCAGCAGCAAGCAGTGCATGTTCTTTCCTCGATGAAGCAAATGTGTCTCCACCGGTGGCTACTGTTCGCTCTGCAGGCATCCCTGTACCTGCCCGGGAAAGAATGAGCGGCAATACGGTAACAATTTCCTCTACCCACCGATGCACAGACTGTACGCGGGCCTTGTTCCCAAATAGCTTGGACAATGTGGCTTCCGTCACACGGTTCGCGCGGTGAACGTTCAGCAATGTCTTCTCCGCCTGCAAACTCCCACCACTACTGATAATGCGCACAAGCTCCTCCATGCAACCCACAATAAGCGGAAGCGGATGCAAGTAATCCACTCCGGCTGAATTTGTTGAGGCACAGTCCACAGACGCACGCATCAGTGAAAAAAGATGTGAAAAAAGTGCAAATGATCGCTTTGTTGCCAGCGGACGGGCTTTCACACGAACAAGATCCATCAATGTGAGCTTTTGCTTTGGGTCACGCAGCCGTTTCCGGTGTTCCTCCACTTCCGACTCACTGAGTGTGTTCTCCACCGTCGGCAACGCGTGGTGCAGGCGGTCCAGCAACACCTCCAGTCCCTTCTGCTGCAGTACCGCACGTTGATCCGTGAGAAGTCGTTCAAGACAGGCCACAAAGGTCGCCTCATTAATACCCGCAAGTACACAAGCCAGAGTGTTACCGGCGAGCAGTTCCAACAACACTGTGAAAGCCTTTTTCTCACCATATTCAGGCAACCCTTCCTGCATCTCTGTCCCCTTCTTCGCCCCATTCACTGAGACGGGAACCATTATATCATTCTCTGTGGCAGCGTTAAGCTCCGCGTAGTGCGCAAAGAGTTCAAGGGTAGCAACTAACATCGCCATGCACTCATCGTTTGTGCGCGACCTCGTCAGAACCGCTGCATGCTCTTTCTTCTCATTCTCTTCCCCATCCAGCTTTGCATGCGAACTGCGAGAGGCATGCTGGCGATGCTGCAACTCAAGGAACCCACTCAAAAAGGCCTCGGATTTCACGGTGGTGTTGATAAGATGCAAAATCATCTCTTGTCGATTGATCACTTGGTTTGGTTTCACAAACTTACGGAAAAGTTTAATGACCGCAGTCTCCTCCTCTTCTTCTTCCTCCTCCCCATTCCGCCGCGTCGCCGCAAGAGAAAGCTGCTCGTGTGGATCGATCAGAAGGTGCATCATTTGTGTGAGGCAGCTGAGCTGCGTGTGCACGTCGAAGCCCTCCAGGAGGCTGCTGCACACGTCCATCGCACTTTCGTACCGGTGATGTGCGGAGGCAAAGTCGACAGCCTCCAGGCGGATGAGGAGCGCCACAACGGGGATATGAAGCGCCGTGCGTCCGGTTAAACGCGACCCCGCCGGCCCGGAGACAGTTATCGATGGTGCCGGCACAAACAAAGGGGAAACAACACGCAAGAGCTCGGCGATGACGTCAATTCGGTGACGAGACAACGTTGTCGCCTCTTCTCCTTCTCCCCCCTCTTCGTCTCCTGCCGCCGCAACATCTGGTACGAGCAACGCTGCCATCAATGTGACGCACTCTCTCACGAGCGTTCGAGTAATAAGAGCAGCGCCATGCGATTGCCCCTCATTCAACGCCTGCGGTGACGACACGCAAAGGTTCACCAGACTGCGAATATACACAAACACCTGGCGGTGGAACTGCGGCTCGCCCACATCGTCCGCCTCCGCAAGAAGCGGGAGTAAACCGCTCAAAGGGAAGGACTCCAGCAGTCCATCAATGACTGTGAACAGTGACGGGGAAGACTCGTCATCGTCATTGTCGTCAAAGTGAACAGACGGGGAAACAGTGATGAGGCTGCAAAACAAACGCAGTGCAAGAAGGGCATCCTTGTTTCGCGGGCACCATCCCTCCTTCCCGCCCAGGGAACTATCCCATACTTTGCCACACAACTGTAAAAGACGCTGCACGTCCGCATACGACAACGGGTTATACAACGCACACCACGATGGTGGTTCCCACGCATCCGCCATCTCCGTCGCCGGTGCCGCTAGTGCCTCCATCACATCCACCACGACCGACAGCTCCGGGGAAGGCTGCTGAAGAAGCCGCGACACCCACGGCAGGAAGAGGCGGTGGTAGCCGCCAAGTGTCCCAGCAAGGAGAAGTGTCGCGTCACCACCGAGACGGTTCAGAGACGCGGGATTGCTCAGTAAGGCGTGGGAAACTGTAGCGGCGAGGTGCTGCGCATACTTCTCCTCGCTATTGGATGCCTTGTTACCGCCACGTGAAGGTGCCATCGACGTCGACGATGACTCACCTTTCCGTCTTTGTGGAATGAATAGCACAGGGTTGGACTTTCGTCCCTCCAACCCGCGGCTCAGGGCGTTGGCAAAGGCGGTAAGAGCGTGACGATACACAGGACGGGCACGCCCACCAACGACATGGAGAAACGGGTGTTGGATGAGAGCCAGGCAAAGCTGCAAACATGCATCTTCGCCATCGTCCGACGGTGTTCCAAGTTCTGCGCGCAAAAATGCAGCATGCAAGAAATCCGCAGCTGCAGAACTCACCGCCACAGCCGCGGCGGGAGTGTCATTGGCAGCAGCTTCGTTGTTGTTGCTGCTGCTGGCGGTGACGGTGTTGGTGTTACTAATGCTGCCACCCGTCGTCAGGATTGATTTCAGCGCCGGCAAAAGGATGTCCATTGCGATGCTGCTTGTTGCCCCCTCACCGCGAGCGGCTTTGCCCCGAAGAGGGAAAAAGTGTTCCACTGCCCGACAGGAGAGAAAAAACGGCACTATTGGCTCCAACTCCTTCTGTTTCTCACACATCCTGGCCATCATGCGGCACAGCAGTTCAGCAGCACCACGCGTAAGAGGGCGGCGGGACTCCTCGCAAGCAATCGACTCGATGATGGCGCTGAGCGTAGTGGCAGAGATGTGTTCCACCCGCAACGCCAACTCCACGGAGATCTGCGCGGCAGTAGTCGTCGCACCATTGGCTCCGCTGACGTCACCCTTTTCTCGCGTTGCAGTGAGAACGATGTTCTGAATCTCCTGTAGGAGAGATTCCCTGCGACTCGTTGGTGCGGCAAGTGGACAGAGAAGCGTGAGGGACAAGGCGGAGAGTGAAAACTGCTGCGTCTCCGTCGCTGAAACGCAACCGCGGGTACGGAATACCGACGTGTAGACAAGACTGAACCAGTCGACTGGAAAGCGCTCCTCTTCGCGAGCAGCATCTGTTGGCTCCAACAGTCGTAAATAAACCGGTGGGAGACGCATGGGACTCAGGGCCACAGCTGGCAACGGCGTACTTAAGTAGCCAAGGAGGCGAGCCATGCGCTCCCACACCGCCACCCCATCACACGTGCAGCTCTCGTTCCTCAGACGCGCTTCTACGCTGCAGCGCACAGCCGTCCCCATGGCCGCTGTCAATTCATCCTTCGGCAGGTATGGGGCCACCAGACTGTTCTTCGCGCCACGACCAACCTGCTCCCTCACCTGCCGCAAAGCCGCACGTTGTGCCTCCCGCAATCTCGCCAAGTAACTGTCGTCGGTCCTCGTGCCTGAGCCAGCGGTGGTGTTGTTTTCCCCGACAAAAAAAACCAGCAGCATCCGAATCACGGCATCCGCCTCGGATGCCTCAGACGTTGCCAAGTGTGACGCACATACCAAACAGCACTCCATCATCGTTGACCTCGACTCACGCGAGAAGCGCTGCTCCCCCTGCCCCGCCTTGTCCCGTAGCCGCGATAACGCCGCCCGCAGCCGCGCATGAGCCTCCGCCCGCAGCAACTCCAAAAGTGGAACACATTCAAATACTGAAAGATACCCGCTCTTGACAACTCCTCCAGTGGCGGTGGAACTGCTGGTCACTTGTTTGGGCCCCTCCGTCCGTTTCACCGCCTTCTTGCCGTCCTGTTCCCCATTAGCCTCATCGTTGCTAACATCGCTTGCCGCCTCATTCTTCTCGGCATTTGATGCGGCGCCGTCTGCCACAACGGTGTAAAACCCAGACGTTCGACACATCTCTGGCACGACAGCGGTCAACCGCCTCTCCAACTCTACAATCAGCTCACGCAACTGACGCGCTGCGTCCGACCTTTCCTCCGGAGTCTCATTCGTGAATTCCCCCGTCGATTCCTGATGCACCGCATCCACATATTGCAGCGTCACGTAGTAGAGTGCCAACCCCCTGATAAAGTCATAAAAGGCATCGGTCTCACTGCTGCTTTTACGTTCGTGTTTCCTCCTTTTCCCTGACGACGACTTTAAGCGGCGGGCCTCTACAAACCGCCAAAGTGGTTGCAGTGCAAGACCGAGAAAGTCCTTCTGCACAGAAACGCCATGTTGCGTGGCCATCAACCACAGCGAACAGAGAATGTTCCGCAGGTGTTGGATAATGACGTCCTGCTCCGTACAAGAGAAGCCCCTGTCGGGTGCCGCCATCATCGTCACCGTCAGCTCCTCGGCCTCCCCGTTCACCAACAACGCGAGCAATTTCTCCATTGTCGTGGCGGCCGTATGCAGAAACTGTTCTGCCACAATACGGAACTGCTCGTACTGCACGACGTGTTCGAGGAGCTCCAGCAGTGAGTTGCCTCCGCCGCCGCTTCCGGGAGCCGACGACGATTTGATGAGCTGCTGTACCGTCATGCTATCCATCGCCTTCGCCGCCAGCAGCCGTACCTCCGGCAGGGGATGTAACAAACAAGAAAAAAGAGGAAGTCGCTCGGTCCTGCCGGAGGATCCCTGCACCTCCAACAACTCATAGCGAGTGCCACTGAGGTGTTGTGCAAGAAATGCGGTCGTCGCGGCCTGTGTAGTGACGCCGTTCAACAGCCGTGATAAAGTGGCGTCAAACACGTGACCGAAACGACGCTCCAATGCCCTGATCCACGTTGTGACCACCGAGTCCCCTTTGGATCTGCTTCCATGGGCCTCCGCCGCCGTATTTTCTTCATCTTCCTCCTCTTCCTTATTCGTCTTTTCTGGATCGCGGTTCCCCGATGCGGAAAACCGTGCGTGGCATGCCATCATAGCTTCAATCACTTCCGCCACCAACTCCTCCGTAAGCGGGAGGTCATTCACGGCACAGTGCACAAAGTGCAGTACATCAGGGGCGACAGACTCTAGTGAATGGGACACGCACAGTCGTTGAAGGCACTGGCGAAGCAAGACAGCAATGAGCGAGTCATACATTCCACCGCCAGCGTTAGCCGCCTCCTCTGCAGCGGCTGTGATCCATGGCGCCCACTGCTTCCATGGCAACGCCAGTAGCAATTGGACATGCGGGACAAAAGTCACTTGCGTAACGGCTGTCCGTTGGGTGTAGAAAAGAAGGTCAAGGACAGCCAACAAGTCGCTCGTTGGCACAACGGCAGCAACAACAGCAGAAGACGACGACGACAATGATGCAGCAACCATATGATCTGCAGCTCTTGTTAAAAATCGAGCAATAGGCTTGACTACAGTCGCTAGTGTCGGCACGGAAAGCTGCACCTCATTGCTCCACGCAGCCAAAACAACGAGAGCGCTGCAGACCACTTCCCGGCTCGGAAGCAGCAACGCGGCATTGCCACCCTGGGTATCTTCCTGCAGCCGCAACTCCTGTTGCGCGCCTCCCTCCTCGCTTCCTGACACCGCACCACTGAGGAATTCCACGATAAAAGGCAACAAGACACGCCACAACGCCTCCGCATCGGGGTGCGAAGCCAATCGCACCGCCACACCGGAAAAAAGAGCATTTGCCGCGCTGTTGTGGACTTTCATGCGGACAGACATGGCAAGAGTGAGGCATACGATCCGCAGAGCCTTCCGACTCTCTGCGCAGGCCAGTATCAGGTGTTCCCGCAAAAGGGGAGCGCCGTGCTCCTGGTTTCTCTCAAGGAATGCAAAGCCTGTATCACGCAGATCCAGCAGCATCACCGCGCGAGCAAAGAGACTATGATCATGATACGGGAGAAAAGTCCGAAGCACTGCCTCCACATTGTGCACATGAACCTCGTGAACACGCACGAGGTACTCGAAGACCTGGTGGGCCGCCGTCAAAAACATGTGTGGACTGAGCAGTGTCAGGAATTGCTCGAGGGTTGCGTCAAGGGCCCGATTTTCTTCCAAGCTCAAAAGTTTTCGCTCCACGCGGGTTTTGTACGGGTGGAACAGTTCCTCAATGAATGGGTGGAAGCGGTTATCGATCGCAACAAGTGTCTGTAGGCCATGAACGGCAAGTTGATGAATCTGCTCCCGTGAGAAACTACGCGCCTCGCTGGCATCAAACAAAAAGGACTGCGACAGTCGTTTGTCTCCTACAGGCCGCTGCTGTAACTTCTGCAGCTGCGAGGCAAGTTGTGACGCCATTACCACAACAACAACACAACACGGACGCACGCACGCACAGAGACAGAGAGAGAGAGAGAGACAAAGAAAGAAAGGGAGAAAGATTTTGAGTGATAGACCCCTTCCCCTTTTTTTTCTTTTTTTATGGTTACAATTATTATTATTTATTTACTTCTCTTCTCCCTTTTTTTTTTTTTCTCCCTTTTTTGTTGTTGTTGTCGGAAGCCTGCCTGCGTGTGTGTATGTGTGTGTCACTGCGCTCAGTGACTGGACGCAGCGGGAATAAAAACGCTAATGTCTCGTCAAAGTCGATACAAAAAAAAAAGGAAGAAGAAAAAAAGAAGAGGAAAGCAGCCAGACAAGAGAAAAGGAAGAAGCAATACAAAAATGCATACGGACACCATTTAAAAATGGTGGCGAGTGAATCAAATGTCAGTGCGTGAGCGCTTGCGCCTTCCGCCCCTCTTCCCCTCGCCTGTCGCCTCCATTGTCTTGAGGCGCTCCACCGTACCCAGCGCCCCCACCGAGGATGCCGTGAACACACGATCACTCGGCGAAAAGGAGTGCAGCCGCGCACGGTAGGCGGCCGCCTGACTGCCCGCCGCTGCCGCCGCGGTGACGCCGCCCCACTGCTGCTGCCGCTCCAACCCAAAGCCGTCGAAGAGACAGCCGCCCAGCTCCACATATTGCCGTAGGTACGCCGTCTCCAGATCATACACGCGCAAGTCTAATGTCTCCAAATGACTCTCAAGAGCCTCGCGGCGTTTCTGCAGCTGCTGCAACTGCGCTGGCAACCCTATCGCCTCCTCCTCCTCGGCGGTCGGGGTAAATGCGGTGGTGACGCCAAAATCCCGCCTTGCAGCAGCAGCGACAGCGCGTCGAACGTATCCTTTTGGTGGCATGTTGCAGAGAGAACTTTTACCGATGCCCTCCGTGTGCACAAAACGCCGTCTCCTACTGAATGTCCCAGCAAAAAAAAAAAAAAAAAAGAAAGTGAAGGCCGAGAGACGGTGAGAAAAAATATATGTATATATATATGTGTACAACGCCGGCAAGCAGGCAAAAAAAAAAAAAAACACGATAATCCAAAATAAAAATAAAATAAAACGTGACTGTATAAATATATATACGTATACATGCATAACTAAGTACATACATTCATACATGTGTATACACCGTCAACGGGAAGGGAGAATTAATGAGGCGGCCAAACACCTGCGCTCCACGCAATAGCTGTGGAAAACCAAGAAGAAGAAGAAGAAGAACAAGAAAAAAAAAAAAGCAGGAAGGTTAAATATTTGGCACTTCACTTCTTTTCTCGCCGTTGCTGTTGCACTCACTAGGGCTCATGCAGCGTGCATCCCCCCATTTTCTTCACACACACACACACACACCCTCTCTGAATGAGATCACGTGGAATCAAAAGATGTATGTGCATAGATCTGTAGTAACAAAAAAAAAAAAAATTCAGGACAGAGAAAAATAAAAAATAATAATAATAATAATGACAATAAGCGAGTATGCATCTTTACACTCACTCACTCACACAAGAAGAGATGGAGACACGCGCGTTGGTCAAAATCCAGGCACGCACACACACACACACACGCTTCCATCCGTCCATCCATCCCAAAAGAAAACATTCTTCATTACATTGGCGTGGCCGAGGCAACATGTCTTTCCACAAGAGACACGCGCACTCACATTGTGCTCGCTGTCTTCGGTAAAAGCCCCACCGAAATAACGGGGTGAGAGAAATTCAGAATGATCGCAGGACAGCCCTGATGATTTACCGAAGTCACGGCACAAGAGATACCGCCAGCAACATGTAGTCCTACCAAAATGATCGCACCTATCACCCTGCAGCGAGGGGAATCTTATCCCACTACCCCCTGCTCTCTCTTCCTCCTCCTCCTCCCCTCATGACGCCCGCACGGAACTGCGATATGTTGACAAGCAATCATCCTCCAGAGAACGTTGAGAAAGGGCCCCCCTTCCTTCCCCCCTCCAACAAAGAAAGAACACACACATTTATTGTTGTTGTTCCCTCGCACTGTACATACTGGCTGCCTTGCGGTGGTTTACACCTCCATCGAGCACCCCACCACCGCGATACAATTTCCATTTCGTAAAGATGGCAGCATCCGTCCTCCACGTCCATTGACTGCATAAGACAAAACACCCCCTTGCAGGTCACAGCGTCACTTCTATTTCAGGCTCAATAGCCCAACGCACAGGGCAAAAAAAAAAAAAAAAACCGATGCCCCAAAATTCACTGTCACCAAGTGCCTCCTAAATATGTCCTGCTGCGGCGTAAACCACACACGTCGCACAGCGCCGCCTCCTAATGGATGTCCTCGTAAAATAATTCCCAAACGTTCAAAAGGAGTTTCATCGCAATCAACTCATACAAGGCAAGGCAACGCTCCTCACTGAGATGCACCCGCCCACCCCACGTTACCCCTATCGCCACTATCTCATCTGTACATACACGCATACAAATATATACCACTGACACCACAGCAGCAGCAATAGCAACAAGCCCGCATAGTGAAAAAAAAAAAAAAAGACTACGTGACGCTCAGTAATGGGAATTTCATCAGCCCCAATCATCCCCCTATCTTTTTTAACTTGCCCCTCTCTTCTATCGCCATTCGGCAAAGCGGAGCAAATGAAGTGTCATCTCGACTAACTTAGACAACCTCTTGGCCAGAAAGTCAGTTGCACATTCACCCTTGCCTGTATAATCAGCCGCCAGCTTTCTTCGTCAGTCGATATCGCCTCGCGTTGCTTGGATTCCTCTTGAAACACAAGTGCCTGCTGTGCAACCCACTCCTCTGGCACTGGAGGATCCGCCTTATCTGCGCTTTGTGCCGCACGAGAAGGTGTCTTTGGTGCCAGAAAGAGTCCTGCCATTTGCCTCAAAGCAGAAACTTTGTCACTCTTTCCCGAAGAATTGCGCAAAGATGCGTCATCCCTCCTTTTTGCAGCCTCACCCTCGAGCTCCAACTTGAGACTTTGCTTGGCTGCATCCGAGATGGACTCCACCACGACACGAAAGGCATCTCCGCAGTTCTGGACAGTGCGGGGTGTCAGCAGCGCATATGTATCAAAGTCCTTGTCAAAATAAGTCACATACGCGACTTTAATCCCCAGCAGCAACGCGTTTTCCTTAATGGCGCCCACGACACCCTCAAAAGTGAGGGGTTCATCCCCCCAGGGGTTCACCAACTTTGTTAACCCCACATAGTCACCCCCATTTGTAACGTACTTCACTGACCAGTAGCCAAGATCATTCCTACCACCTTTATCGTCCCCGCCGTTCATCCAGCCACGCTCCACAAAACCCGCTACAGACCTACTATCTCCAAGCCCTTGAGACGTTTTCCTCTGGTATGATCCAGGAGAGACTAATCTCCTCGGAAAGACATGTGACCTGGTGCGAGCTCGATAAGCCGTAGAAGTCGTCGTCTCCAGCAACGTTGGATTTGAATGGCAGGAGCGAGCAACGCGCACACAAACTCCGTCCGGATACGGCGATAAAGTTTCCGCATTTGATACAAAGCCACGCGAACTCGGCACAGTTGACAAAGTATATCCATGCAAAAAAGATTGTGTCAAGCCCGCAGCAGGAATTTGCGGCGACACAGGCATTGAAGTATTAGCAACCATTTCTCACAGGCAACAGAGAGTCCACCGCTACAGAAACAAAAAATATAAAATATTCCTGTTATGTACAATGCACCGTCCTACCTTTTAGCAAAAAAAAAGAAGGAGAAAAAGCGCATAAAAGCAACGGCGGTGTGCACGGGGCTGGTGCGTGCGCTGCAGACACGAGGCAGGGGAACGTCAGTGAGGCCCCGGGAAGGACCAACCGCCAGAACTCATTTCACTGCGCAGGGCGCATCGAAAAAGGTACACTCAGTTAGCGAGATCATCACGCAGCAGCAAAGAAGGCAGCAAAGGAGCGGAGGGAAGGAGGAAGAAAGGGCGCAGTACATGGCACTTATCATCCCCGGGACTACCAGAAGGCACCACCGCGGCAGAGCACAGCGCACGGGCACCTCGGATTGCCCCGTGGAACACGAGCCCGCACCACGCCTAAGCACTGCTCGCAATACAAGAAGGAAATTAGAAATAGAGGAGGAAGAAGCCGCACCTAACCGCCCATCTCGCACAGTGTCGGCACCGACGCAGCACTGTTCAGCCACAGCCGGCTTCTTCTTCTGTGCTCGCGGACGAGAAATCTCACGCATCTCAGGATCCCGCAGCAGGCAACGGCTTCGAACCCGTCGAGAGCTTTTAATGCGTTTCGCACAAAAACAGGCCATATCTCGCGTGACGACAAGGCCCTTACGCGCAACGGCGGTGTGCACGGGGCTGGTGCGTGCGCTGCGGACACGAGGCAGGGGAACGTCAGTGAGGCCCCGGGAAGGACCAACCGCCAGAACTCATTTCACTGCGCAGGGCGCATCGAAAAAGGTACACTCAGTTAGCGAGATCATCACGCAGCAGCAAAGAAGGCAGAAAAGGAGCGGAGGGAAGGAGGAAGAAAGGGCGCAGTACATGGCACTTATCATCTCCGGGACTACCAGAAGGCACCACCGCGGCAGAGCACAGCGCACGGGCACCTCGGATTGCCCCGTGGAACACGAGCCCGCACCACGCCTAAGCACTGCTCGCAATACAAGGTGTAACGATGTGCGGTCAACAATCCATCTCTGCAATATACTCTATTTCTATTATCGGTGATACAATACATATATATATGTATATAAAGGGGCGCGCGGCAAAAGAAAAAAAAAGAAAAGGAAAAAAAGTTATTCTTCATTTTCCACCCCTCGCAGAGTATCACGACAGAAGCAGCATCATGACATCGTTGAGAAGGAGCAGTGTATAAAAAAAAAAAAAGGCTGAATGAATGGGAAGCAAAATGAGGGGTGTCGGAGGATTACTTTGCAAACATTGCCAAAATGGTTTGGCCTTATCAAAAACGTGCATTTTCGATTGTTACGTTTCTGCCTTCTTTTTTTTTTTTTTTTCCCCGTATGATTATTTGTGTGTGGGTGTGTGGTGCTCTCAAGATATTTTCCAACATGCACATGTATGCTTCCGCGGTGGACGCGGTAAAATACGTCGTTTGTTTGTGAAGCATCCAAAAAGTTTAAAAAAAAAAAAGAAAACGCACAAAAGACGAAGCAAAAAAAGAAAAGAAGAAAAAAGAAAAAGAAAAAGAAGAAATGCGATGCAGCAACATCCATGCAACAAACTGAGGCATCAATGGCTTGAATATAAATCGCGTCGCAAAAAAGAAAAGAAAAATTCTTCATTCACCAGGAATATTTGAAACCAAATTGGTTAACTATATATTATATAGTTAAATATTTTTTTTTTTCTTTTTGGAGGGGGAGAAGAGTTCTGTTCCATTCTCTTTTTTCCTCTTTGTTTGTTTGTGTGTTTCCCCCATTACTTTTATTTGTCGCGCACACGTTTTTTTGGTGTTTGTTTGTTTGCCTACTTGTTGTTGTTGTTGTTGTATTTTTATGCGTGGTGGTGGTGGTGGAGGGCTGTGGCTGCACCGGCGGTCGGTTCTCCCGTGGGCGGCTAAGCCGTCATATTCCGAGCAAAGCGCCCAAGAGAGAGCAAAGAAGCAGCCAAGGCAAACTGGGAGTAACCGCAACGCTGCCTGCATCCACCCCGAAGTATTTTTTCCTGGCGTCTTTTTTTTCCATCTCCAAGGGCTTCGAGAGGCTCCTCTGCACTGGGCCCTCCACAGGCGTAAGCAGGTTCTGGAAGGTGTTGTTATCGAGCGTAGGTTTCAAGACGGCAGAGGCAAGGGTGGTGCAAACATCCGTGTATCTTGGGCAGATAATGTGGCCGCGGGTGAATGGAGTTCCTGGTTTCAACCGGTGCCCCTCTGGACAAGGATACCAGGTGTCATCTCCCACGTACCGTATGCTTGCAACCCCTTTATGTTCGCACGATACCTCCACGCAGATAGCACCAATGGTCACCGAGTTGAAGCGAAGCAAGTCGGTTTCCACGCATCGCGAATTGGGCCCCACACGACACCCAGTAAAATTGTTCAGAGTACTGGTGCATGTGCCTTCCGCCGACGGCATAATAACAGGACAGTAATCCGTCAATTCATTCGGTGAGCCGCCCATAGAAGGATATTTAAAGTACCTATACACCGGATGCAGATCCTTTCCGAAGTCAAACAAGCCGCAAACCCCCAGCGCCAAATGATCGGATGTGCATTGAAATAGAAAGGAACCATCGACGCAGAACATATCAGGGTATTTCGTGGTACCATTGTTTACGCATTTCTCTTCCAGAAAATCGCATCCAGTGTTTCTGCCCCACCCCATCACCTCCTCCATGCCCCAATTAGCGCGGTAATACCCCAAATCCTCAAATGCAGCCATCGTCATGGCGGAGTAGTACCCGATGCCAGCAACACCCGCCATTATCTCATCCTTCGCGTTCCGTCGCTCCCAGTGAGACTGCGCCGTCCCCGCACCACCCTCATCCTCCAGCTCCATACCAGGCGCCCTATCGCAGTTAAAATGTTTCCGCGTCACCTCCCGTGTCTTTTCGGAAGACACTACGAGGACGTTGGATTTGCCACGAATTTTGGACAACTTGGTGACCATTTTGCTTTCAGTAAAGAGTTGAACGGAAAATCCAAGAGCGTGTGCAATCTCATGTGCAACGGCGCGCGAGAGGTCCTGCCTTGAAGAGATGTGCTGCGGACCAAAGTTGAGAGCACCAACAGCGGGTCGACCACCACTCCTGAGAGCACACGGTACGCCCCACGCGACATTCACGTCATGCGTCGGCCCAGCAGCAACATAAAGGATAAAATCGGCACCAGTAATCCCTTCAGTAAAATGACCATCAGGAATCAAAAACAAACTACACGCGCCAACGAGAGAGGACGGCAACACAAATAATTCCGTTGTTTGAACAAGGAGACGATCCGAATGTAACTTAATGGAGTCTGGTAAGAGCTTATTAATAAGAAGCGCCTTCTTTTCTTCAGTAAGGATATGCCTCTTCTCGCACTTCACCGTGTTACCCTCGTAGTCTGGACGCATATCCCCCTCAGCCGTGCAGTAACGTGACTTATTCTTCAGATCCTCTGTGAAAAATCCGATGCGTAACGGTCCCCACTCCGGCTCACTGGCGGTGTATGCCTGGAATGCACCCTGTCCCTTCCGCGGCAGCTCACGCACCATAGGCAGAGGAGCACCATCTCGCGTCCTCTTGTCGAACGTGCAGCGATGTTCCACACGGCCCGAACAGAGGCGCACACAAAGCAGCAGCAGCAGCAATATTAGGGGTAGCGTCGATAACGAATAAAAACTGGACATTTGCATGCAAAACGAGATGCGATCACACTTCACACTACATGCAAAGCAAAAAAAAAAAAAAAAAGGAAAAAGAAACAGACCTGGAAAAAAAGTGTACACATAACAAAAAACAAACCAATTCCCTCATGCACAGAAGCATCTTCCACACCTTGCCATCAGAAAACGAGCACACTACAAGAAAAAGAAAAAAAAATACCCCGCAGCTCCTCCAGTAATCATAAAATCCACACTAAAAAATCAATACGCAAAGTTAATACCAACAAACACCGTATATAGCCTCCGGTCTCGCACAGTGTCGGCACCGACGCAGCACTGTTCAGCCACAGCCGGCTTCTTCTTCTGTGCTCGCGGACGAGAAATCTCACGCATCTCAGGATCCCGCAGCAGGCAACGGCTTCGAACCCGTCGAGAGCTTTTAATGCGTTTCGCACAAAAACAGGCCATCTCTCGCGTGACGACAAGGCCCTTACGCGCAACGGCGGTGTGCACGGGGCTGGTGCGTGCGCTGCAGACACGAGGCAGGGGAACGTCAGTGAGGCCCCGGGAAGGACCAACCGCCAGAACTCATTTCACTGCGCAGGGCGCATCGAAAAAGGTACACTCAGTTAGCGAGATCATCACGCAGCAGCAAAGAAGGCAGCAAAGGAGCGGAGGGAAGGAGGAAGAAAGGGCGCAGTACATGGCACTTATCATCTCCGGGACTACCAGAAGGCACCACCGCGGCAGAGCACAGCGCACGGGCACCTCGGATTGCCCCGTGGAACACGAGCCCGCACCACGCCTAAGCACTGCTCGCAATACAAGAAGAAAATTAGAAATAGAGGAGGAAGAAGCCGCACCTAACCGCCCATCTCGCACAGTGTCGGCACCGACGCAGCACTGTTCAGCCACAGCCGGCTTCTTCTTCTGTGCTCGCGGACGAGAAATCTCACGCATCTCAGAATCTCGCAGCAGGCAACAGCAGTCCAATCCTTTTTGCTTTTCACTTTAAGGTCCTAACTACGGATATGAAAGATAAAAAGCGAAACAGACAATTTTGTGTACGAAGTCCATCAAGTCAAGTGACCAGTCTTTTATTATAAAAGTACTTGAATTCTGGGAGCATCAATCATTACGTTAAAATAATAAAAATAAGATTTGAAAATATATATCTATCTACATATATAAGTATATATAGATGTACTGTTTGAAATCACCTTTAATTTGGCGGTTGACAAAAGAATTGTTCTCAGTTGTTGTTGTTGTTGTTGTTTTGTTTTGGTTTGTTTGTTTGTTTGTTTTTCCGAGGGGGGTTGTGTTTGTGTGTGGATGTCCCATCATCTCTTCTCTTTCTTTCTCTCCCTTGTGCGACAGTAGCAACGGCACCCAGTCGAGAACAGGTTCGCCCCCCCAATTCGGGTGTTTTTGTGCCAACAAATGGCAAGACGCGCACTGCGTAAGTTGGGGGTCTAAATGCACATCGGGGTGAGACAAAATCATCCTGTGCAACGAGCGACTATCCCTCCATTTCAACCTTTCTGGCTCTTTCCGTCTCTTCCTGCTCTAAAAGCTCATTTACCTTGCGTTGTCGGCTGCGCATCTCTTTTATTGCCACGTTTTGACGTTGTGCGCACTGAATCTTGATGGAGGCTTCTGTTGGCGTCATTTTCGTTTGTTTCTGGCAGTGTGCGCTTGCCCAGTCATGCAAAAAGGCGTATATGTCATTTGGCTTTTGGCGAACGACTTCGGCAACGAAGGTCTCGAGATACTCGCGCATCCCGACACGCTCAAGGTACTCTCGCTGCTCCTCGCCGTATTCAAGATTATAGTCCATACTTGTGAAGGATGCCCCTTTGCCCTCGTGTACGTGGGTTGCCTCTTTTTTTTTCTCTCTCTCTCTCTATCCCTTCTCCTGTGTGAAGGGCGAGGAAGGCTGTTTGTTATTTTGCTTTGTTTGTCTGTTTTTTTATTATTATTCCTCTTTGCAATTAGTACTCATGGGGGGAAATGGCAAATGGGATTGACGTGCCGCAAAGACCACAAACATATGAGAGGTGGTAAAAATGCAGGATAGCGTGAAGAACTGAACCACAGGGAGGCCCTCCCCCCCACGCTAAAAAGGCATCCATATATGTATATTTATAAATAATATATTGCCACTGAGAGAGAAAAGTAAAAGAAAACAAAAAATATAAAAATAATAATTCCCCAGCCAATAAAATGGAAAATATATAAATATATTTTTTTTTTCGACAACCTTACGTACACATTGCAGCTGCCATGTGTATTAATTAACTGCAACGTGTGGTTCTAATCTCTCTGTTTAATATTTCCCAATAGTGTGAAGAGGCATGTCTGCAAAACGCTACGTTGGAGCTGGAGATAAATAAATCATGCTGCCGTCAGCTCTGGTGAAGGAAGAGTACGAGAACGTAAAACTGGTGTCGCCGCAGTCCTCATTTATCCCGTGCTCGTCTGATGGCGGCAGTGGAGAAGAGCGACACCGGGGTCCCTGAAGGGACGTGGCAAGCGAGGGTGTGGAATATGTGTTTGCCTCACGCGGACGCCGTCGCCACGCCGGCAACAAACCGCGATGCGGCCCTGCCGCCCCGCTCTCCTCTCCCCCTTCAACCTTCTCGTCCTTCTTCTTCTTATTGAGTCCCTCCTCCTCGTCAGTGTGAGACGACAGCGCGGCCCCCTCGTGTAGCGGGCACTCAAACAACAGGCGCCAGTACGGCGACCCACGGGCGATGTGTCGTTTCTCACGCACGCAAATCTGGCGTCCCCCGGCGGTGGTGAACATCGTCGGCACCATAACCGTGACAGTCTTCACCTCAGGCCAAATGTTGTTGCTGAGAGCAGGTCGGTCTGTCGTCTTCTCCGGGTCGCAATCATAATAGCAATGCCTCTTCGTCATTGTGTTGTCATCATCCATGTGTCTCTGCTCAAACAAATTTAATGACGCCTGTTTTCGTGTGGGTGAAGCGGCGGAGTCGACCACAACGGCAGCAGCGCCCACATCGCTCCCGTTGCCGCCATCACCACCGCCGTCGCCGTAGTCGGCCGCATCTCCGCTGGCGCAGCTGCCACTTCGGGTCGTAATCTCCCTGTCGCCCCCAAAAAGTCCGCAAAGCTGTGATGTACCTTCCATGAGAATATTCGTGTATCCTCGTGTTTGTTTTTTCTCACTTGTTTTGTCTTCTGCGTATGTACTTTTTTTTCCTCACTTTCCACTCGTCATGGAGCGCTTCCATGCACACGTACACATAAACAAACAAAGGCAAACAAAAGGGTAGTAAAAAACATCAGGTGCATGTACGTACCCAAAGAATGAATAGCCAGAGTCCATGTAAGGCATTGCATATATCACATGGCAGTTCATGTGATCCTAAAAAATGTGTCAAAAACAGAGAGTATTGTAAGGGGCACTATGTCTATTCCAATTTTACGCGCACTCTCTGTTAAATTAATCTCCCTCCTTTTCCCGTCTCGTTTCTCTCCCTCTCTCTCTCCCATTCACGAGACTGCGGCTATTTTCAGGTGCTCCGGATCCGCCTCAGACACCTCTCAAATACGCCAGGCATGTGGGCCATGTAGTGAGATCCTGAACAAACGTCCGGAAGGACACACACATGATGCACAGATAATCCAAATATACATTACGTATATATATATATATATACATATATTTGGCCTCCCTTTTATTTTCACCTCAAAAATGTTTTGCCATCAAATTTACACTGGACATTTTTTTCCCCCTTTCGAAGTTTTACGTCGTGGGGTGTGTGTCTGCCGTGGATGCCGCTGCCGCCCTCTGCCTGGCTGCCCACTGCGCCATGTACTCACAGGCGTTCTCTGGTTTATCGCGGAGTACGTCAGCGACGAGCCTCTCGATTATACCGCGGACGTTGTGGGAGTGGAGGTACGCCTGATCCTTCTGGATGCTGCTGATGTTGTGGCCCCCTGTTCTGCTCTGCATTTCTATTTCTTTTTCTTTTTTTTTTTTTTTATTTCCTTCGCCCTCCCCCGTCTTTTTGTTTTTGTTGCTTCAGACGGTCCTCCCCTCTTGTCGGTCCTGCCGGTTGGCTCCCTCCATGCAACACACACACAGATATATAAAGAAAAAGAAAAAAAAAAAAAAAAAAGAGCGAAAGACGGAAGAGCACACACGCATAAAAATATTTCCGCCATGAAACAACAACAAAAACATATATATACAAATCTTTGATCCTCTCTCTCTCTCTGTGTGTCTTTGCTGTTGTCGTCGTTCAAACAACCCCGACAGCATCCCACCCCACTTACTCATTCACACTCAGAAAACAAATGTCAGACACGCTCCCAGCGTCACAACACGAAAAGAAAACGGTGCACGTTGCAAAGCCAGACACGCTCTTAATTCTTCTCTACCAATTCATATGTGTACATACCCCACATTTCCCTTCTTCCACTCTTCCAACTCTCCTTCTCTTCGCAGAAGATTCGCAGGAGGAAAAACAATAACAAAAACGGAGAGTTGCCGCAGTAAATACGACAAGAAAACAAAGCTCTATGCCCTCTTGACAGCACTCACTCTACTAACACGCGTGGATCCATCCAACGCCGCACCTGTCAGAGATTTACGACCTTGCTGCTTGGTTCGTTGGGTAATTGGTGGCAGCTTTGCGATGCTGCTGCGTGAATTCCGTTGAGCCAGTGATGTATCCTTTGGAGGGCTCCACGTTTCTGGCGGGACAAGCGTAGAACCCCGCATCCTCACGTAATACCCAACCGTCTCGTCAAATTTTACGCCGCAGGAAACGCACAAATTCCTTGGCGGTAATGCCTCAAAAACAGAGCCCGCCCCACGTGCGTGTCTACATGACTTCACTAAATGTTCCTGTTCCCTTAGGAACCTTTTCAGCTGCCGTGCTGCCGCAGCTTGCGCGGCGGCCTCAATTCGCTCCTGCTCCTTCCGCAGCGCCACCTGCTCTGGACTGTTCATGAAGTTTTCGTAGGCAATTCTCTCTGCCTCGGCGCGGGCGTTGAGTTCCTCTGTGCAGAGCGCCGCCCATGCCGCTTCCTCCTCGGCCACTTCATCCCGGCGTTCTCTTCTCTCCATCCCCATCAAGAAGGCCGTGGCAGCGCATAGCGAGTCCTCACACTCGCGGCGCCAGCGCGCCATCGCCTCCTCACGCTGCTTAGACCGGGCCTTCTCTTCCACCTCCTGCCTCCAACCCATGCGACCCTCCTCGCGAAGGGCCTCCTCATTAATTTCGTATTGACGCTGTTGAGTGGTTGCCCGCTTCCGCAAGCGCTCCAGAAGCCGCGAGAGGGCGCGATCACTCATCACCTCCTCCCCTGCTTCTACACGCCATTCAATAACTGCAGCCAAAAGGGATGTCGCATCGTTCACTATCTCTTCTCGCGCTATGGACTCTTCCCGCTCCAAATCTCTCCGCTCAGAAGCGTTCTTCAGCAAGTTGTACTCCTGCAACGCCTTATGCTTGATTAGGCCCAACTCCCACGGTTCAAATCGCTTCCGCACACTCTCCTCAATACATAACGCAGAACTCTTGACATGTCCTATCCCGCATGGATCGACGACAGGAGCAGCCCAATGCGATGACGTACAATTAAATGGCCTGACAAATAACGGCTGCTCAGCATCCCCAGCACTACTAAAAACCATTGCGCCCCCGCCAACTTCCTCTTACCAATATTCGGGCCGCAACACGTAGAAGAAGGCAAGACAAAGCAAAACAAAAAGAAAAGAGAAGAAATAATAATAATAATAATAATAATAATAATAATAATAATAATAATAATCAAATGGAAATAAAAGAGGAAAAGCAACCTCGCCAGCATAAATATATATGTATATTCACTCCGTAATCATACACGTATATAGATATATGGATATGCATCATGCAGCCATGATGCAAAATCAAACTCTCACACAGTGCGAAATTGTTCATGTGCATTCAAAACGATCTGCTAGAGCTTTGCTATATTCGTCGATTCTGTTCACTGCCTCCGTTAGTGTCGCTAGCTGCGCCTCAATCTTATCAATGGAAGCAAGCTGAGGAAGCGAATGCTCCATCAACTCCGCCGTCTTTTCCAGCTCTTTCACGGCATCCTTCGCCGAGGCTCGAACCTCTTGACACCGACCCTCCATTACTTCGTTGCAGTTCCCCAGTAATTTCCAATCCTCCGCGTAGGCTTCCATCTCGGCTGTCATGTACTGCTGCATCGCGGCATGAGCACGGCGTAACTGATCCAAGGCCTCTGCCCCTTTATCCACCGCCGAAACAGAAGGCGCACTACCCGGCTCCGATATACAATCGCTGTTAAAGGACCCTTTCGGCTCTAGTGGCTCCTCGGTGTCCGACGGTTGCCTCATCAGACCAGGATGAAGAAAAGGCAGAGAGGGGAAGGAAAAAACGGCACCTAATCGCCAAAAAAACACAAGAGAACGCATTAATAATTCAGAGAAAGGGGGAAAGGAAAGTAACGCACCGCACGGAGGATGGCAACGTAAACACTTTGCATAAATGTATGCAAATTGTTTAAAATAGTGACCAAACAGAAGAGTTATTCACTCGCAGTATATATACATATATATATATTGCTGCACCTTCATACCATGTTGTCAAGGGACGGTATACACCCCCGTTCGCAGCGAAATACTTCAAGCATATCCGCCAATAGATCCAACTTCTTCCGATGTGCACCACCCTCCAGAGTGTAGAGACGCACACTGTTCCCTAAAAACGCATCCGAGTGCAAAAGCTCCACGGGGTTCTGTCGTAAGTAGCCCTCCATTGTATCAATGAGGCTTGCCATCAGAGTGGTCGGATTCTTGTTAAGTGTTGCCTCGTAAGGGATGCAACTCACGTGCGAGGTCGCTGCACTTACCCATAGCTGATGAAACGCCTTTTGGCAGAGAGCCGACTGCGTCTTGGCAGCAGATAAAGGGGCAGTACTAGTTTGCCGTTGGGAAGATACCGTGGGCACAACGGAAGATGACTTTTCTGCAGTGTTTGGACTGCGGCAGAACTCACTCGTGCCTCGTGCCACTTCACGAAAAATTTGTGATGCCTCGCCCGCTCTATCGTTAAACGTCAACCAAAGAGCACGATTGATCGTGATCAGAAACCGATGGAAGTTCTGGACGTCATCCGACTCGTCTGCGGTGCTGAGGCCCTCAATAGCCCGAAAGACATCCTCGGCAAGGAAAATGTTTCCACAGTGTAAAGATAATGTCGCTAGCTGCTGCAGTTGTAGCATCTGTTTTAAAACCCTAAAGTCCGCACCCTCATAATCATCATCATCATACCGCTCCGCGGCTATCATCTCCTCAAAAAGTCGTATCGCGTCAGCGTACTTTTCTGTCTGATAGTAACTTACAACAAGAGCCCGCTGAATTCGTTTGACTCGGGTCTTCCGTAAAGGTGATACCGCCACGCCCGCATGTTTTTGGCACTCTTCAAGCAAGACGTACAGACGGCACTGCGTTTCCACTGCGCTGCCGCAGTAACTGGGTAGGAGTGCGCTAATAAAGCGAAGGGAAAAGGGCACTATCGACTCCCTAGTCACCGGGTCGGTGAAGCGATCACTGTTGAGATCCCCCACAGCATCCACCAACTTCTTCGCTGCCGCATATCGTTGCATACTAAAATATGCTGTCACCTGCACAAGAGTATACCGCAATTTACATGCCAATCCTTGAATCGTGTCGGCATCAGCCTCAGCGCCTAACCGTTCTGCCAACAGCAGTACGCCACTCCAGTTTGCATCGGCAGCCATAAGCCGCAGTCCCTCATCATTTTGCGGCACATCCTCTACTTCCAGATCCTCTCGCACAGAGTCCACTGGTAAGTTGCCCAAGAAGACCTGCACGGAATTCAGGGAGTGCGGTGAAGGCATCCAAAAAAAACTCTTCCCAACCTTTTCTCCCTTTTTTACCTGTTCTTCTTTTTGCTGTTGTTTCTCTTATTCTGCTTTTCCTTCTATTCACTGCAACGATGAGCAAGCGGAACCTTCCCCTCCTCTCGGTAGCTTCGCAAAGCAAAAGATACAAAGAAAAAAAATATATGTATTACGAGGGGAAGAGAGGAATTGGGAGTCAACCAGCGGTGCATGTTTCTTGACGTGGTAAAATCCACAAATACATAGATACATACAATTAAAGCAAAAAATAAAAGTAAAACCGCATCCAGCCTCTGTGCTGCATAATACAAAAATAATAATAATAATAATAATAATAATAATAATAATAGTATACCTTGACCTAAAGTGGATAGGTCGCTAAAGCAAAATCCTGCGAAAAGAGCTATTCGCCTGGGCTGCTGGCCGAATCCTCAAATTATCCAAAGGAATCAAACAAGACGGGAGCGAGAAGAGTTAAATGAATTGAAAGCAGTGGGTTGGCCAATTCCGCAATTTTTGCTCCAAATATATATATATATATATATTCGGATTGCCACTCTTGTGACACGGTGCACTTTTTTAGGATTGGATATATTTATTGCTTACAAAGTGGTATACTTTGGGGCCCTCCAGCCACAACAAAAATGGCTTCCGCCCTTTTACAAACGCGATACCATGCAGATCCAGTCATTTCATTCTGCCATGTTTTTTTTTTTTTTTTTTTTTTTTTTCTACTCTTACCAGCGCGTCTAGCTATACAATGCCGTCTGAGTGCCGAAGAGGTGGTCGAGCAGCGACAAAAGTTTCCTGCTATAAAGCAACTGCCATTGAGAGAACTTTCCGTGGCGAAGGTCCTGTTCAATGCCCAGCCGTTGGCGCACAGCCAAGGTGTCTAGACATTCTAGAAGCAGATGGTACAAGGTTTCCTGCGGGCCAATTGGCGTGCTTGCGGAAGCTGGCTGATCCTGCGGCAGCAGAGATCGCCTCCTGGCACTGCTGTTTCGATGTCGAGTGGCGTCTGGGTTGTGTGCGCAGCGACTTCTGTGCTGTGCGGTGCTTCTCCGTGTGGGGAAAACCATGTCACAGAAATCACATTTGAGCTCGGGAAGCGGTGGAGGATGTTCCGGGTGAAATGACCGACAGTGACTGACGAGATTCGAGAATCCCGTCAATATAGAATCGCAGTACGGACATTTCTCCTTCCGACGGCGTGTGACGGTCCGTCTCCTTACTGGAGAGACGTCTTCCTCCCTTGCCGACGGGGGAACAGCGTCCGTCCCCGGTGCAGTTGGATCATTGTTAGAGTGCATATATGCAGACTGTTCCGGTGAGATGTTGCAGAAACGGCATTGGTTCGTGCAATCTCTCACAGCCCAGTATAGTCGGCCCCAAAGCTCAGATTCGCCGCACCTTGCCCTAGCGAGGCGAACCAGTTCTTGACGGTGAAGAACTTCCTGAGTGATCAGGTCCTTACCGCTGAGATCTGATGGCCTTGTGCCGCAAAACAAGTAGCGATGAGTGTCTTGACGAATGGTACTACGCCACTTATTGGTGAGCAGGGTAGCAAAACATGTCAGCAGATCCGTATGCCATAAAGGTGCGATTCCGTGCCCCGTGTATTGTCCAGTTGCCATAGTCTGCGTCGCATACTGATCTGCAAGCTCGTTAGCATGTATTCCACAATGTCCGTAACAAAACTGCAGGTGCACAGACCAGCCAGCACACGTCAGTGTCAAGAGACGCTGCCAGATCTGACCCTCCGTCCAGTCTGTCTGACTGAGCGGGCCCTTGTTTAGAGCCGCTAGAAGAGACTGACTGTCTGTAACCACAAGCGGGGTTTTATGCCTGTGCTGGATACGAGGGATAATCAGCTTCTCTAGGGCTAGAAGCAGCACACGGGATTCCGTCCTGTAGCTGCATGGGCGTGTGTCGCAGTTTATACTGGCTTTTTCTATTATCTCCGATGAATTGAGGGATGCAAGCAGTATTCCAACCCCGGCTGACTTGGGAACGTCGACACCGCCATCCGTTGCGAGTATCCACGAACGATGGCTGTGCAGCGCTAGAGCCTCTTCGCTGACTCTGCGCTTTTCCCTTATCAGCTCTTCCCCGCCAGTTATTGAGGGATCTATCGGAAGTTCCACGCCAATGGTGACCCGGTGAGCGGAGGCCGCAAACCAGGGAGGAATGGAGCTGCAAAAGAACCGCTCTTCGCGTGGTGAGCTCTGAGTGATGCCATATTCCTTTGTGTATGCGTCTACAAAGGCATATAGCTCGTCCCGAGATAATGGCGAGATGCGGAAACCTGCGCGAGGCGGTGGCTCAGGCGGAGGTCTCCGCATCCAGTCCATCTGACATGCGCGTGTGTTCTCAAACATGGAGAGCCGCGCGCAGGCGGACAACATGGAGCGGCGGCATATTAGCCTCTAGAAGCGCGGATTCCGGGTCGACAGTGCTCGGAACTCCGCTGACAATGCGCGCCAGGGTTGCGTACGTCTTTTGCATCTCATTCTTTGCTGAATCCGTCGCTACTGCCCATATGAGCTCACTGCCATAGCGTAATTTGGATGCGCCGTATCCGATGATGAACGTGCGTGGGTCATGTGGAGATGGTCCCGCCCCTTTATGCGCTATGCGGCGTAGCTGCGATATCCGTTGCGAAGTGGCAGCGCACTGCTTGGAGGCCGCCACATTTGCCGTCAGTCGTGGATCGAGGTCCATGCCAAGAAGCTTCGTAGTTCGCGATGCCCCCATGGTCATGACTGGAATTTTACATCTAGCCACTTCCAGGGGCCACTTTCCTTCACGATCATATTTTGACTCCGTGTGCGTGGAGAATGTGAACCAAGCGGCTTCACACTTTGACGGGTTGATGGCCAGGCCATTTTACTGACCCCGCGCGTGCAGTTTTTCAAGGATCGTGTTGACTGCAGGAATGGTGTCTTCCCGAGAGTGGCCGTTGATTACAATGGAGAGGTCGTCCGCATACATGTCTGCTGTGACACCCGCAAAGCTGTTCAGCAGATTGAGAAGTGGGTGTACGTAAAGGGAGAACAAATATGGTCCCAGTACGGACCCCTGAGGAGCTCCTCGCAGCGTGGGACGCCGATCACTGTTTCTGTTACCAACTCGTGTCTTCGCGTAGCGACCACATAGAAAGTTTCTAAGCCACCTTCTACAATTCACCCCCGGAATATTAGCCAGCAAGCGACTGAGGACTCGATGATCTATGGAGTCAAAAGCCTTGCTGAAATCAACCAACACCAGCAGAGTCCGATGGGGTCTGTAGTGGAGTTGATTACCAATACCGCTCTTCTTGGGAAGGTTCACTTGGAAATAATGATTTCTATTATGCTCCACTTCGTGTATCAGGTGTGCCAGCTGCATCGTCGTGGTACGCATACTACGACACGCATACTGGTGCGGACGAGGCGTCCACAGCCAAAGCAGTCTCCTCAATGCCATTTTTTCAGCAACCTTACCCACGATGGAAGGAAGGCTGATTGGTCGATATGACTCCATTAGCGCCGGCGAATGACCGGGTTTCAGGACTGGGACGATGGTGGCTCGTCGCCACTGGACCGGAATCGTGCCGGCTGTCCGGCTGTGGTTGATGCGGCGGAGAGGGAATCGGAGACACTTCGTCGAAAGATGTCGTAGCGCCTCGCTGTAGACTTCGTCCGGTCCGAGGCCTTGCCGTACGGTGTGCTACGCAGCGCTGCACGCAGTTCCGCTTGATTAAAAGAGGCAGCCAGAGAGAGGGGAGAGAAGGAACCTATCGAAGATGAGGCGGCCGACTCGTTGTTGTTCTGCGGCCTAAGAAGGGGGTGGAGAAGAAATACACAAAGACCAGTTTTCCCCGTTATTTCCCGTTGGAAAACCCAATCGCCTTGCGAGGTGGGGAGGAATCCAAGATTGAGTGCATCCGCTGCTCTCCTTGCTGTCCTGAAATTATTCTTGCGGCCATCGTACATCAACGCCGTTGTGGGAGATGGAATTGATGTCTTTTTACGTCCGGAATCGTATTTTTAGGCGAGTGGTTTGCCTGGGTTTAACTTTCTGATGCGACGCCGATATTTGCTGCGCAAGCGCTCTCGGAGTAGGAGGAAGAATTGGCTCCTTGTCCGTTGCGTCTCTGCTTCACGGTCGGGCGTCGGTAACTGCAGACAGCGGGCCTTGCTGTCGGTAGCAATCCGCTCTGCTTTCGCAAGGGTGTCACCCCGGAGCTTGGGATCATCTTTGTGCATGCCGCGGGGGCAATGTCGTCGATACGAAGTTATAAGCGCTCTCGTAAAAGCTTTAATGCCGGTGGACTGCTTTTTATAGTCATATGCCGGAAGCTGTGCGTCGAATTTCTTGACGAATAAATCCCATTTACACTTCCCCCAACTGTAGAATGCCCTAGGTGCCGAAGGGGGTGCCGAAGGTATAGTATCCATAAATGCCTGATGCAGCGTGAATGTTAGCATATAATGATCACTAAGCGGCGACACAGAAGCTGACCAATCTGACACAGTCAAATGCTTTGACCATGTCAGATCGATACAGGATCGTTCTCTTGTGCCACGGGCATACGTGATCTCACCAGGGGTGTTAACCAAGGTGAGTCCCGCATCCGTGCGCAGTTCTAAAAATTCTGCAGCAACCTCGCTTGGAGAAGACTCCAAGAATGGCTCCCACTGTGGGTGATGCATGTTGAAATCCCCACACAGCAGGAGCGACGAGGCTGGAAGGCAGTTTACTAACCGCCTGAAGGATTGCGTTACTTGCGGTGGTGGTCTCATACAGGCACTCGCTACGATAAAATCACGGTTCTGGTCCAGAGCAAGCTGGACCACCACCACTTCAAGGCTGGTGTCATGCTGGGGGATGGTGAGGGGTATACGCTTGGAACGGAGAGTTTTCCGCACCAGCACCGCCACACCGCCTCCCTTGCCGATGCGCGACTGTGCATGGAGCACATAATCTCCAGTGTGCATGCTGGCGATCTGCTCCGACGACTTCCGAGTCTCCTGGATGGCTATTATGTCTGCTCCTTGCGCCATTAATGTTGCGAGTTTTGACGGCGTGAGGGAACGGTCATCTGGAGTGCTGCTATGGGGCCTGGGTTCTGCTCAATGTCTCCGCTTAGCAGTAGCTTTTGTCGTTGCGCGTCACATACGGCACGCAAACAGTATGTATAGCGCTGATAAGCGCCGATGGAATTCAGCAGCGGATAGAAATACCGCTCCGCGGGCAGCCATGTACATGGCTCCATCTGGTGCCCTTCCGACCCGTTTGAGCGGCGCCTACTGCCTCTCCGCGTGCAGCGGATGGGCAGCAGGCGCTTAGCTTCCTCTCTAGCAAAGAGTACTAGTCCCTGGCACCACGTTGAGGTGGCCGGCTGAGCCAGGGATTCTGCCATGTCGTGCTCCTTCCCAACATCGCTTCAGGACCAAAGCACTCAACCACACACTGAAGGAAGTCCAGATGCCCGTTCTGTTCCACCAAACATGAAAGATATTACCCATTCATATCAGGGTGAGAGAAGACCACTTTATCGAGTGTCAAACTCAAAGGGTGGCTTTCTCCCCGTGATTTTTGCACGAAAAACTGGCAAAGACGTGGCGCATGCGTCTCACAATTCGTCGCTCCTCCTACACGGTCTACCGGGGACTTCCTGCAGAAAGAGAGAGAGACACACACGCACACTCAAAGAAACAAAATAGAAAACAAACTGTGGTACAATCAATGCATACCTCTACCTTTTTAGCCAGCGGGCCAATGATAAAAAGAGATGAGAAAAAAAAAAAAAAGGCAAGGAAACCCATGGCTTGCTTCATTTCTACCCGAAATCCCGATTTGAATGAGATTTGTCCAACAGTCATACGCCACAAACTAACAACTCCATTAGAAAAGCTCGTGTGATGTTGATTGAGCTCTTTGTGAACTGAGGAAGTGGCAGTCTTTTTATTTAGGGTCCCCCTGCAATCACCAGACCCCCTTCCCCCACTGTGCCCGCGCAAAAAGAAAAAAAAAGCCAATTCATTAGTGGATAACGTAAACAGGGGGCTTTCACAAGAATCTTCATCATCATCTACTCCGCCCCATGCGTTTACATTTTCCTTCCTAATGCTTCTAAAAAAGAAGTGGGTGGATGAGTAAAAAAGACAAAGTAATCAAAGACAGGAAAAAAAAAGCAACGGATGACGGATGCTGCTCGTCTACTATTTCTGAGAAGTGATGGAAAAGCTATAGTTTCTCATCAACTTCTTCTTAAACACTGTGAGAAGACTCTCCACCTCATAACTAAATTCTGGTGAGAAGATCGAATGCAACAGGAGATCTGCTGCGGTTGGGCGCTTTTCTGGGTCATCCTGAAAGCATTTTCGCAAAAAGTCATTGAGTGTCACACTGCTTGTAACATTCTCCAAATAAGGGACAGCAGACGTCATTTCTGCTAAGATCAAAGAATTATCCATAAACTTGGGTGGACAGGCAAAGAGCTCACATGCCAGGCAACCAACTGACCAGATGTCACATGGACTAGAATGAGCCTCGCCCCTGTAGACTTCTGGAGCCATGTAGCGGAGTGTGCCCTGCACATCCTTACTCGCTTTACCCTCTCTTGCTGTACCAAAGTCTGTAATCTTGATAGTATCGCCCTTTAACAAAATATTTTGCGGCTTCACATCTCGATGCGCCACACCCCGAGTGTGCAAATATGTAAGTGCTGTCAAAACCTGACGAAGAATCTGGACCACTGTGAGAGTAGGTGGGACTGGTTTCCTTCCAATAATGATTTCACCTAACGAGGCATCACAAAGTTCCATAAATAGATTAATATTATTCTCCTTACGCTCACAGTGAAAATAATGCACAATGTTTGGGTGATTCAAACTACACATAATCCTGATCTCATTGAGTAACTTATTAATGGATTCATCACAATCGGCAGAAAAATAAAACATTTTCACTGCCATTTTGCCTCCAGTTAAATCGCTCATGGCTTCATACACTGCACCAAAGGAACCACGACCAAGCAATTTTCCTTTCGTCCATGGAGAATCTTGTCTAAGTGTCAAAATACGTTCCCGCTCTTCCCGTGCAGTGGCTGCGTTCTTTCTTAATGATACAGCTGTCCCTATATCCATGAGAACCTTCCGTACCTCATTACCAGAAATAGGGGAGCGGATAACGTACTGGAACTCTTCTGGGGCAAAGAACACACCCTGATCAGCCATTGGAACAACAATGGCCGAATGATCAGAAGAGATAATCAAGTCACGTGCTGAATTAAGCCATCCACGATCGCAAATAATGACGTCCACGTCATTTGGAGCCGCCTTCAAACGCCTTTCCAAATCGTCTCGTTGACGCACAGTAGTCAAGGAGACAAACATGGTTTTAAGAAGAATCATAGAAAGATTGTGTTGATCCACTAGATCGGTAATGAGCGCCAGCACATTAACTGTACAGTTGACAATGGCACGTGTTTGATCAATGATAGACTGCTCACCGCGTTTTTCAATGGCCTTAAAGGCATCTTCCCCATCTTCCAAGAAAGCTGTAACTTGGCATGGAAAGCGAAGATTAATATCCTTGCCATCTTTGCACATATTTCCACAAATGCTGCGTATGAGAGGCATAATGGCATCTTGCAGCTCTTCCTCATTTAAACACAGTTCATTCTCCTCACAATGGGGAGTAATCGTCACAGCTAAAGCAAAGACGTTTACAGTTTGGCTCATTACCTCTAATTTTACCATACACGAAACCCCTATCGTGTCCAGCAGAGTAGAAATTGCCTTAGGCACGTTTGGATGCAAGCATAAAGTAGCAGGAAACATAGAATCTATCTGTTTTTCGTGACGCACCGTAAAAGATCGAAGAGCTTGTGCAAGTAATTGTTCTGCCGTAGTCCATTCCCACTCGGTAAGCATCTCTCGAGCCATTTCCTGCACCTGTTTATCTAGAGCGCATGTAAGAAACGACTGCAGAGAAGATATTGCAGCTTTCCCTTGTGGGTCCACTGCATTCTTCTCAACCAATTCGGAGAGGGAAACGCTCACTTCTGAAGTAAGGTAGTCACGAATGTAAGAACGAAACACTCCCAAGTTATCCTTCGCGTTTGCGCAAATCAAAATACTTCCAATTGTTTTCCCAGAAAGGTTTAAAATGGGAGCAGCAATTGTACAAAGTGTCACTGGCGCCGTAGCAAAGGCACGTAGTTTGACCTTTAGCACGTCCCCTTTGGACGCCTGCAGTGTTGAAAGATCGTGTGGAACATCACCACTTGGTGTAATCAGAAGATCTGACAGAGGTTTTCCGATACAGCCGCCTTCAAGAAAACCTGTCATCACTTCTGCCGCCATGTTCCATCGAGTAATAAGGTAATTGCTATCAAATCCAATCATCACCACATGTGCGTCCACATGTTTCCCCTCAATGTATCCTACACAATCACCATAGGGGATGGCGTAGTATCCTCTTCTTGTGTCGCGACCACGCTTTACTCGTAATTGGTTTGTCGTCGTGTTGCACGGTGATGCTTCATCAGACAGTCCAGATGACGGCTGATACATCAAGTTAGCGTGCATACGTTCCCCAAGCAACCGATCAAAGAGTTCTTGCAAGGCTCGTACTGCCATTACAAAGCAAAAAATAATGCAAGAACCGGAACCAACCAAGAATACGGCTGAAAGGGTTCCCACAGCTGCCGCAACAGAAGGTGAAGGCCCAATAAAAGGAATGACGACCATTGTGACGAGAGCCAGTATAAGGGCGCTGACAAAGATAAGAATGAGCAGTAGAAAACAAAAAGAATTACGCGAGACCCCTTTTCTTACCAAGGTGGATGATGAGGGAAACTTAATTTGTATGTGTTTTGCGTGTTGTGCAGCTTCCTGCGCCAATCGCGTCACAGGCTTCTTCCACACCAGAGACTCCGGCCCAACTGTAACAACGTCAAAAAACAAGCGTCTCATCCGTTCAAGACTTTTGGGAAGCTCTTCGTCAACTGTTAATTTGGAATCATTTTTTCGGTAAGAGGACGAAGGCACAGTCCCAAGCACCTTTAGTGTAGATTGTATGGAGTGGAACAGGGCGTGCGCGCGTGGGGTTTGTTCACTCTTACTTTCCAAATACACTAGCTCCAACAGTGCAAAGAAATTCTCAACATACTCTTGCATAGAAAGGATACTACGTTCAATATAATCTCTGTCATCTTCAGTAGCAAGAATGGGATGTGGCAGCATTTCAAACTAGCCAACTTATAACAGAACCCAAAAAGTAATGTGGTTAAACATAGGAGAGAATAGTCCCACACAATGCAAAAAGGAAAAAAAAAGGGAGAAAAAAAAGATCAAGAGAACCAAAAAACCCGTAGGTTTCTTTCCCCTCCAAGTTTGTTATCAATTTCCCTCTTAGATCGTAATGACATCTCTTGAGAAAGAAAAAAAAAACTGTACATCATATTTCCATCCTCTCAACAAGTCCAAATAAAATCGCTCGAGACTCGACTCATTCAAACCCCATAAGATACAAACAAATAGGGACACGGGCACAACAAAAGAAAAAGAAGCAGCAGCACTGGTAATCCGTTTACTTTTCATTGCCCCTTTAGGAACATTTTGTTGTTGTTTTTTGTTTGTGTGTACGGTTCTAAAATTCTCGTTGTTGGTAAAATAGATGGAAACAATACACATCCCAAAACAAGGGGAAAACTTCCAAAATACATACAACTCTTGTAATTGTTACATGAACACAGGAACCGTTCTTAATTCTCTTCGGGAAAAATGAATAACGAGTTCCGTAGAGTCATCATTCCTCTTCCCCGTTTCCATTCTGGGGATCGACGGCCGCCGAGCTCTTTTTGAAGTTCCCCCTCCGCGAACTTCGTCGACTGGACGAACTTGACCGCACTCGGCTTCCAAGACGTTTCCGACGTTTGGAACCAGAGCGACGAGAACGAGACTTTTTGCTGCGGCTGCGCCGACCCTTTTTCTTGCCCTTGCGACCCCGACGAGACTTGGAGCGGCCGCGGAGCACAGAGAGCTTGGGTAAGCCCACAGAAGAACGCCCGCCACGCCTCCCGGTTCCGCTCCTGCGAGAAAGTGCAGACGGAATCGTTGCCAAAAGCTCGTTCGGTGCGCTTGGCCTCACAAACCCAGTTCTGCCAAATGATAACCGACTCAATTTTCCTGATGAGGGCGAGAATATGGGGGGCAAATAAAACCCCTTCCCCGATTGGGATTCGGCATTATGCAAACCATATTCTTCTCGATGGCTCACATAGTGCGACGCAAGCACCTCATCGCGGGAACCCACATTGTATGTCTTATCCTCATAACGAACAGGGCGGAGACTAGTATAACGCGGGACAACTGCTCGAAGAGCATCCCTCATTACCTCATCGTCATCTGAGCCGTCAGCCGTATCCAAAACGGTATTTAATATGGAACGCCCAACGCTGTACTGACGCCTCCCCTCACGTGCCACACGTGGCACGTTCGCTAGCAGGTTTTCAAACCTTGCGTTCTCATCAACTATGGAATTATCCACGGCATTATCACCCTCATCGTCGTCCTCGTCATCATCGTCGAATGCGAAACTCTCTTCATCACAACCCTCAGAGCTGTAATCCAACCCTTGATAGGAAAGCAAACGATAGTCGGCAGGACACACCAGACCCCGATTCTGTAAGGCAACCAAAACTCCCTTGACATCCTGTTGGGCACATAATTCACCAATTCGGACAAGCTCCCAAACGGCTTTGGTATTTCCCTTCATCTTCCGCACCATTAATGCGATACATGAATTATGAGAACTAGTCGGTGTCACGGGAACAACCGCCAAGGGTATCTGGGCTTTAGGCACCTTCACTGCATAATACGCATCGGTCACTTCAGTAAGACTCGTATTTTTAGTAAAAAGCGTAGCACACAACGAAAATCCACCCCACATTACCAGTCTTTTCAAGTTCACACTAACACCGTCACCGGCTATTACACTAGGTCCCCCAGCAGGTTCTAAAAAATTTCTGGACCCTACAGAATCTGCCTCAAACTTGAGTACCGCATGAGGAATATGGGAAAGGCCCTTGTTGTTCGTCGTCTCGCGTCCCACGCCCACATAATCAGTCTGACCGCCATGATCACTAAAAAGACACGCGGTTGTATCAAAAAAAAGAGGCAAATTACCCTCTTCGGGTACTGCTCTGTAAAGTGTAATCTCCATCTCAGAAATGTGGGGATCAATGAGACAGGACTCCCCTTCCACCAGTAGTCGAAGCGGAAATTTATCCGCTGATTTGTCCAAATTTCGTCTCAATTCGGCCGCGGAATTTCCTCCAGACTTCTCTGTGCTTCGCCCTCTACTAGAAAGGGAACGCGATCTTCTCCTTGATGCGCTTCTTGATCTTCTCCTTGATGCGCTTCTTGATCTTCTCCTTGATGCGCTTCTTGATCTTCTTGATGCGCTTCTTGATCTCGACATTGATGCGCTTCTAGATCTCGACCTTGATGCGCTTCTTGATCTCCTCCTTGATGCGCTTCTTGATTTTCTTCTTGATCTATCTTTTTTTCTTCCTCTTGATCCGTTCTTCACTTTTCCCTTGGAATTGGCCACTTCCCGCTCCATCGCGGTTCTCTTTGACTTCCTCTCGTCTTCGCCACCCTCAGCCCTGTAAAAAATAATATTAATAATAATAAATAAATAAATAAATAAATAAATAAATAAATAAAAAGATAAATAAATATTATTGAAAAAAAAGCTGAAAAATTAAAAAAAAGGAAAAAAAATACAACCCAATAATTAAAGAGAAACCCATACACATGTACACACTCTCCCCCTTCTTTTTCGTTTGTGCTGTAAAAAGGCGTGGGGACTAGAAGCAAATATTTTTCTTAAGGCTCCCCTTCCAATGCATAATCTCGTCTACTTTATTAAATTTGAAAAGCGACAGTACCGGGGAGAAGTAAGAGCTGCAAGAGCAGCCTCGACGCTGATTTTTATATTCAACAGATCCGCATAACTACAGATAAACCATGATGTTTGTATGGCTCCACTAATGGGATTAATTTTTGTCAGTGACAAGGTGTACAGTGGCAAACCAGCAGTTCCCAACGCGCGGCGGCAACCAAGCGGAACTTCCAACCGCCATCGAAGCTGGACATATTGTGGGCTCGGTTCTAAGGCTACCATCTCATTGATGAAATTCTTTTAAATAACTCACACGCACACAAGGCCGTATGTAAAAAATAAAAATAAAAAATTGTTTTTGTTTTGTTTTCACAAAAAAAAATTAAATAAATAAATAAATAAAAACCACAGTAGTTTAGGTTACAGAAAACAATAACCATTAGTTTTGTAATTAAAACAACCAAGCCCAGAAATGCCAACATAGCCCCCCCAAAAAAAGAAATTGGGAGCCTCATGATTTCATTGTTAAAACCATACGAAAAAACAAACACAACTAGGACAAATGAAAATAATAAGAATATATACATAGTCCATCAAAGATAAGAACAGAGGGTCTCGATCCAGGACACTGTGATATATATATATATATATATATATATAAACTGGGTGAGCTTTTTCCTTCATCACCCTTGGTTCTTTAAGCCGCCATTTTTCAATAATATTAAGGCCTCCTACAGCAGCTTCTTTAAGCCCATAGATCAGAAAAAGCAAAAAAAAAAAAAAAATGAGTTCTGTGGTTTTATCTATTCTTCACTTGCCAGGAGATCTTATATGTGTCACAAGAGCAGATCCCGAACCCTGGAAAGAGCTTCTTTCGTCCTTTCTGTTAAATGGGATATATGAATGCCCTCTGTAGGTTTTTCAGCCCGGCTTTTGTTTAGATCCATCTCCCAGCTTCTCTGTAACGAGGTTGGCGCCACAGCATCAGGTCCCTCATTCAGCCTTTTTATTCGAATGCGTAATTGTTCCATCTGGAGTTCAAGAGCCTCTTTCTCATCATTCCAGCTCCGCACCTTCTCTTGAACAACTTCACCAGATCCGGAATTGGAGACCTTCAACCAGCCCTCGGCTCGATTCAGTCGTTTTTGAAGAGCCATTATTGAAGAATGCAACGCCATTTCCTTTTCTACTAGTTTTTCAATACCAAAAGAGCTCATTACATTGGAGCAAAAATGGTTTAGTTTTTCCTGATCAATAAAAGCTAGTTTCACTTGATATGCTTCTATCTCAGCCCAATTGATAATCTCATCCCATTTAAACTCCTGTTCCAAACCAATAAGCTCACGAAATCCCGCTTCTTCGGCAAAAAAGACGTTAAATTCGGTTCTTATCCTTTGCTCCATAGCCTTATTATGAAGCATTTGTATAATTAGAATTCTATCCATCCGAACTCACGATGCTTCAGGGTACAAAATTCAAATTTAATGCTGGGACGCACCTAATTTCCAATTTAAAAAAAAAAAGATAGTCAACCGACCCATAGATCAAAAGACCTATGTATATGCTAAAGAAAAGGGTAGGGAAAAGAAAGGAAAAAAAGTTAAAAAAATTTATATTTGCCATTCAATATCATAATTATTGTAATCACAATCCAAAAAAGTAAATACAATCGTTTTTTTGTTGTTGTTTTTTCCTTTGAAGAAAAAAAAACAAATTCCTACAACCCCCTGAGAAAAACGGCAAACAGTCAAAAAAGAATCCTGCACTCCTCTACTAATAATACCTCCCAGACCAACCCCCAAACCTAGCAAAAACAATAATTACAATACTAACAACAAATATTTTTCCAGGATTCTACTGAGTGACTTTGTTGCCATCCTTAAACTCGTCAATGCGCTCAATGACTGCGGGTGTCTGAAACACATGATCTGGTATATCGGCCCCACGGTAAAGCGATTCAAGGAGCGAGGCAGCACCTCTTGGGGTGGCCTCCCATTTCATTGTTTCCAAAAGGGACTTTGCTAGGTACTCCACAAGTTCAATATGAGGGATAACCACCTTGGCATAGTCATCATCAGGATCCGCGAAGGCATCAAGATGGTGCCCATCCATTTCCACTTTTAACTGTCCACCCTTATCGTCAAGAATTGGATAAGCCATAAGGCTGTAGCACTTCAAGAGACGATGAGGATCGCCCAAGTGAGGCGGAAGAAATACCCGAATAAAGGTCTTATTCTCCTTTGCAACCTCTCCAAGACGACGAAGAACGTCCGCATCACGAGGATCCATGGTAGATGCATATTGACTCCGGACTCGATCATTAACTTCCGGTTTCCGAAGCATACAACTGTAGATGGTATCCAAGGAGGCATTGTCCCATCCCTTACCAAAGAAATGGCGACAAGTAGAAACTGCCACCAAAGAAATACTGGCAAATCGCTTCATCTAGGAAAATTTCCCTTGCCTCTTTTTTAAGCAAATATATATATAGAACTGAAAAAAGGCACAAAATTTTCAAAAAGCCCATCGAGGGGGAAAACCGCTAAAAAGGCCAGTTAATCCTTTCTCCCTTGAGTTTTTGCGTGTGTCTGATTTCGTTATTCTTACTCCACTTCAATTACAGCTCACTTTTAAGGATCAAAATGAAAACAACTCCGCACATTTAAAAAAAAAAAAACTCAAGTTGTTAGCAAAATATTTCCCATTTCCCCTTTCCCCACTATGGAAAAAAAAAACATAGAATTAAAAAAAAAAAATTTCCTTGCTTCTGCAGCATTTTTCACGTCCATTATGCACTTATTAATTATTGGCTTCATTATGCCATTGTTTTTCAATATTTACCTGGTGAACGGATAAGTATTTCAATTAATAACAATTGTTGTCAAATTCAACAACTTTGAAACCACATATCTTTTTCGTTATCTATTCTTTTTCTTTTTCCTAACTTCTTTTTTATATATAAACCAAAAGCTTTATTGATGCTGTTTCTGTTGGACAATCGCTCAGCTTCACCGTGGGGCATTTACCAACCCGGTTGTTCTATCCCACAGATGCGTCTTCTGTCACGTTGGGAAGTAAGTTTGCACGCTGAAAAGCTCCTTTCTCACGCAGAACACGAGAACACTGACTCACATTCGTATCAACCAAGAAATCATAAAGCGCACCTGGCCAGGACTCAGTGACAAATAAGTCATCATAAAACTCAGGGGCAATCTTATGAAGCCTAGAAATACGAGTCCATGGGATATTAGGAAAGTCGTGGTGTTCAACATGATACCCTGCCATCCAGGTTAGCCAGTTTAAAGGCCCATAGTATGAAAATGTTTCTTGTCTGCCCTCTCCCCTGAATATATAATGCTCTGAAATAAAGTGCCCAGCTGTCGGATGCCAGCTCGTACCCAAAAAAGTAGAAAAAAGGTAATACATGAGTGGACCCGGACCAAAAAATTTGTACACTATTATATCAAATACAATCTGTACAATATAATTGATAAAATGTCTCTTTTCAAGTTCAATCTTTCGAATAATGCACGGTCGGAGAGCATAAAAGAAAACCTGAAAGGTTAAGAATAAAAACTTTCCCACGTAACTGGATAGAAGTTTGGCTTCCAACAAGGTAGGTACATCCGCATCAACAAGTTCCCAACCAAGATAGCGATGATGCTCCGCGTGATAACTCTTGAACATCATTGCATAAGGTATAGGTACAATAAGGTTAAGAAAAATGGCGTAATAGTCGTTATATTCGCGCGTCTTAAATGCAAGATTGTGAGTTGCCTCATGGATAGCCAAAAACGTGCTATGGGATATTGTTCCTCCCACAAAATAAGCCAAAAATAAGTACATTGGCCAGCTCATTTCACTCGCTCGTATACCAAGATAAAGCTGAAGAAAAATAAATGGCGTCATAAGCCTCCAGATCCAAGGATCAGGTCCGTAAAGCTCCTTGATCTGCCTCCCATACTTCTTCAACATGAATTTCCGACGCATTTCATGGGGTTGTGGGCTCTTGCTCCAATAGTAGTCCCCTCTCCCCTGAGGTTCAAAAAGCTGTTCAAAGAATGCATTGCTACTCTTCGTCATTTGCAGCCTTACAAGTATGTTAAGGGGGAAAAAGCATAAAAAACTAAACAATCAAAAGCAAAATTCCAGAAAATAAAATTAAACTAAAAAGATTTATCCACGATGTGAACAGCAGTATACAAGGTGAAAAGACTTCCAAATGGTGTTATTGAGCCCCACGCACTCAAAAACCAACGACATGTCCAAAAACAAGAATAGGAATAACCACAGAAAAAAAAAAAAAAAAAAAAGTAGAGTCTTTCCAACGGATAAGTTTTAAAATCAAATAAAAAGGATAAAAAACTGATAGAAAAACACCACAAGTGAGTCAAAATTCAGAACCACTGTGTTATCAAAAACGCAATATCCTAAAGCAAAAATGACTCGCAAATTAGCAAGCTCCCAAGACGCACACAAAAAGCTTATAAGCCCGCAAATGCAACCCCACCAATCCCCAAAACACGCCATACAAAAAACGGGATAATTGCACCATTTGGGCCCCAACAAAAAAGAAAAACTCGGGACGCCATCAAAAACGCAATCAACACCAAAATTCCAAGCAGCCCAGCCAACCAACCACCGCGGAGAACGGACACAAGCGTAACACAGTAGCGCCGCCATCCCTCAAACAGGTTCTCTTCAAAACAGGCCGGACAACACACCTCCGATGGATCCGGACCGTCGACCCGACAGCGCCGCTGCAACACATTCCTTGCGGATACGTGATTGTGCATGGAGCACATACTCTCCAGTATGCATGCTGGCGATCTGCTCCGACGACTTCCAAGTCTCCTGGATGGCTATCATGTCTGCTCCTTGCGCCATTATTGTTGCGAGTTTGGCCGGCGTCAGTGAGGGAACGGTCATCTGGAGTGCTGCTATGGGGCTCGGGCTCCGCTCAACGTCTCCGCCTCGCAGTAGCTTTCGCCTCTGCGCGTCACTTACGGCACGCAGACAATATGTGTAGCGCTGGTAAGCGCCGATGGGATTCAGCAGCGGACGGAAACCCGCGACGCGGTGGTGGTCCGGGTCGCGCTGGGCCAGAACCGTGATCTCATTGTAGCGAGCACCTATATGAGACCACCGCCGCAACCGACACAACCTTTAGGCGGTTGCTGAACTGCCTCTCGGTCCCGTCGCCGCTCATTCCGTGTGGAGGTTTCAACGTGCGTCGCCCACGGTGGAAGCCCTTCCTGGAGACCCCTCCAAGCAACTCCGCTGTAGAATTTCATACAACCGCGCACGGATGCAGGACCCACCTTGGTTAACACCCCTGGTGAAACAAAGTGTGCTCGTGGTGCAAGAGAGAGGTCCTGTATCGACCGGACATGGTCAAGGCATCTTACCGTGCCCGACTGGACAGCCAATGTGCCGCCGCTCAGTGACCACTATGTGTTGACATTCACGCTGCATCAGGCATTTAAGGATACCATGCCCTCGGCACCCACTTCGGTACGTCGAGTTTTCTACAGCTGGTGGAATTCCAAGTGGGAGTCCTTCGCCAACGACCTCGACGCACAACTTCCAGCATGCGACTACAAAAAGCAATCAACCGGCATTAAGGCTTTTACAAGAGCACTTGCAGTTTCACTTCGACGGCGTTGACCCCGCGGCATGCACAAGGATGGTCCCAAGCTCCGGGGTGACACCCTTGCGAAAGCAGAGCGGATTGCTACCGACAGCAAGGCCCGCTGTCTGCAGTTACCGACGCCCGACCGTGAAGCAGAGACGCAACGGACAAGGAGCCAATTCTTCCTCCTACTCCGTGAGCGCTCGTGCAGCAAATATCGGCGTCGCATCAGCAAGTTAAACCCAGGCAAACCACTCGCCTAAAAATACGATTCCGGACGTAAAAAGACATCAATTCCATCTCCCACAACGGCGTTGATGTACGATGGCCGGAAGAATAATTTCAGGACGGCAAGGAGAGCAGCGGATGCGCTCAATCTTGGATTCCTCCCCACCTCGCAAGGCGATTGGGTTTTCCAACGGGAAATAACGGGGAAAACAAGTCTTTGTGTATTTCTTCTCCATCCCCTTCTTAGGCCGCAGAACAACAACGAGTCGGCCGCCTCATCTTCGATAGGTTCCTTCTCTCCCCTCTCTCTGGATGCCTCTTTTAATCAAGCGGAACTGCGTGCAGCGCTGCGTAGCACACCGTACGGCAAGGCCTCGGACCGGACGAAGTCTACAGCGAGGCGCTACGACATCTTTCGACGAAGTGTCTCCGATCCCCTCTCCGCCGCATCAACCACAGCCGGACAGCCGGCACGATTCCGTTCCAGTGGCGACGAGCCACCATCGTCCCAGTCCTGAAACCCGGTCATTCGCCGGCGCTAATGGAGTCATATCGACCAATCAGCCTTCCTTCCATCGTGGGTAAGGTTGCTGAGAAAATGGCATTGAGGAGACTGCTTTGGCTGTGGACGCCTCGTCCGCACCAGTATGCGTGTCGTAGTATGCGTACCACGACGATGCAGCTGGCACACCTGATACACGAAGTGGAGCATAATAGAAATCATTATTTCCAAGTGAACCTTCCCAAGAAGAGCGGTATTGGTAATCAACTCCACTACAGACCCCATAGGACCCTGCTGGTGTTGGTTGATTTCAGCAAGGCCTTTGGCTCCATAGATCATCGAGTCCTCAGTCGCTTGCTGGCCAATATTCCGGGGGTGAATTGTAGAAGGTGGCTTAGAAACTTTCTGCGTGGTCGCTACGCGAAGACACGAGTCGGTAACAGACACAGCGATCGGCGTCCCATTCTGCGAGGAGTTCCTCAGGGGTCCGTATTGGGACCATGTTTGTTCTCCCTTTACGTACGCCCACTTCTCAATCTGCTGAACAGCTTTGCGGGTGTCACAGCAGACATGTATGCGGACGACCTCTCCATTGTAATCAACGGCCACTCTCGGGAAGACACCATTCCTGCAGTCAACACGATCCTTGAAAAACTGCACGCGCGGGGTCAGTAAAATGGCCTGGCCATCAACCCGTCAAAGTGTGAAGCCGCTTGGTTCACACTCTCCACGCACACGAAGTCAAACTATGATCGTGAGGGAAAGTGGCCCCTGGAAGTGGCTGGATGTAAAATTCCAGTCATGACCATGGGGGCATCGCGAACTACAAAGCTTCTTGGCATGGACCTCGATTCACGACTGACGGCAAATGTGGCGGCCTCCAAGCAGTGCGCTGCCACTTCGCAACGGATATCGCAGCTACGCCGCATAGCGCATAAAGAGGCGGGACCATCTCCACATGACCCACGCACGTTCATCATCGGATACGGCGCATCCAAATCACGCTATGGCAGTGAGCTCATATGGGCAGTAGTGGCGGATTCAGCGAAAAATGAGATGCAGAAGACGCATGCAACCCTGGCAGGCATTGTCAGCGGAGTTCCGAGCACTGTCGACCAGTAATCCGCGCTTCTAGAGGCTAATATGCCGCCGCTCCATGTTGTCCGCCTGCGCGCGGCTCTCCATGTTTGAGAACACACGCGCATGTCAGATGGACTGGATGCGGAGACCTCCGCCTGAGCCACCGCCTCGCGCAGGCTTCCGCATCTCGCCATTATCTCGGGACGAGCTATATGCCTTCGTAGACGCATACACAAAGGAATATGGCATCACTCAGAGCTCACCACGCGAAGAGCGGTTCTTTTGCAGCTCCATTCCTCCCTGGTTTGCGGCCTCCGCTCACCGGGTCACCATTGGCGTGGAACTTCCGATAGATCCCTCAATAACTGGCGGGGAAGAGCTGATAAGGGAAAAGCGCAGAGTCAGCGAAGAGGCTCTAGCGCTGCACAGCCATCGTTCGTGGATACTCGCAACGGATGGCGGTGTCGACGTTCCCAAGTCAGCCGGGGTTGGAATACTGCTTGCATCCCTCAATTCATCGGAGATAATAGAAAAAGCCAGTATAAACTGCGACACACGCCCATGCAGCTACAGGACGGAATCCCGTGTGCTGCTTCTAGCCCTAGAGAAGCTGATTATCCCTCGCAACCAGTACAGACATAAAACCCTGCTTGTGGTTACAGACAGTCAGTCTCTTCTAGCGGCTCTAAACAAGGGCCCGCTCAGTCAAACAGACTGGACGGAGGATCAGATCTGGCAGCGTCTCTTGACACTGACGTGTGCTGGCTGGTCTGTGCACCTGCAGTTTTGTTACGGACATTGTGGAGTACATGTTAACGAGCTTGCAGATCAGTATGCGACGCAGGCTATGGCAACTGGACAATACACGGAACATGAAATTGCACATATATGGCATACGGATCTGCTGACATGTTTTACTACCCTGCTCACCAATAAGTGGCGTAGTACGATTCGTCAAGACACTCATCGCTACTTGTTTTGCGGCACAAGGCCATCAGATCTCAGCGGTAAGGACCTGATCACTCAGGAAGTTCTTCACCGTCAAGAACTGGTTCGCCTCGCTAGGGCAAGGTGCGGCGAATCTGAGCTTTGGGGCCGACTATACTGGGCTGTGAGAGATTGCACGAACCAATGCCGTTTCTGCAACATCTCACCGGAACAGTCTGCATATATGCACTCTAACAATGATCCAACTGCACCGGGGACGGACGCTGTTCCCCCGTCGGCAAGGGAGGAAGACGTCTCTCCAGTAAGGAGACGGACCGTCACACGCAGTCGGAAGGAGAAATGTCCGTACTGCGATTCTATATTGACGGGATTCTCGAATCTCGTCAGTCACTGTCGGTCATTCCATCCAGAACATCCTCCACCGCTTCCCGAGCTCAAATGCGATTTCTGTGACATGGGTTTCCCCACACGTAGGACGAGGTTGTTTCCACTGACATGAATGGCGTCGCGCTGACGTCCGCCTTTGACGTCAAGGCCGGCATTTTCCTCAACGATCGCTTCGTGAAGCTTGCCTCATGGTACGGCAACGAGACCGGGTACTCCCACAAAGTGCTGGACCTCGTTTCCCACATCTCAGCACAATGAAGCGGCCGTCAGAGGGGAAATTCCGAAGGGAAATAACAACGGGTTTGGCGGGGGTGCCAGGAAATGAAGGTAAATAAGAAGGGAAAAAATTGTATATGCGAGCAATGAGAGTCATGTAAATGCAAAACGAAGGTTCAAAAACAAGGATCATACTTTGGTTGGTGACATACCACGACGGGGTGGATGAAGAGGTCAATAGACGTGTACTGCGTGTGCGCTTGAAGCTGTTAGAGGCCTCTATTTTGTTATCGTATTTGGCTTGGGTCTCTTTGATCTGTCCTTTGTTGCTCATCTGTGGCCGTAAACTGAATTATGTGATTGTGGTTGAGCGGGTGTTGTGCGCAAGTGAAATGGGCGGTCTTTTCGCACCGCCAGGGGTCAGCTGCGTGGGCGATCACCCACGCACTCCCCGTTATGATCTCGCACTGCGGCAGCACGTGATGAGGAGCTTCTTATGTATGTAACTCGGGAAATCTGGGTGTGCCCCCCGACGAGCCAACGGAGGAATCGTTAGATAGTGACGCTGATGCCGCCCAGCCCAACCGCCTCCACGAGACCGTGCCCGCCATCCCCTTTAATAGCGAGCGGACCCTCAGTGCGTCACCGCGAGCCGCTCGTCTACACCGGGGGGAGAGAGAAGTGAGGTGGGAGAGGAGGACAGCGAGGATGTCTGCCGCCGCTGTGCACACACCGACACACACACACAACTAGTGCCTGTTCCGCTCCGTACGTAACGTTTCTGTGCCTTTTTGTTTCACATTGCGATATCTGTTTGTTGATGTGTTGTTATGCCTTTTTTTTTTTATTTGCGCCCACTGCCCCTGCTTCCGTGCGGTATTCCTCCGTGGCATTTGGGTGTTGTGCAAAGGTTAGGTTTAGAGAAGCATCAGTGCAACCCGTAATTGTGGAAAGCAAATAAAACAATAAAAACATCGATAAAACGCAAAATGAGCTCGTGGGACGTTTCCATGTCGAACCATGCGGGTCTCGTGTTCAACCCCATTCGCACCGTTTCGGACAACGCGAAACCGTCGCCGTCCCCGAAGCCGATCATTAAGCTCTCCGTCGGTGACCCGACGCTGGACAAGAACCTTCTCACGTCGGCAGCCCAAATCAAGAAGCTGAAGGAAGCGATCGACTCACAGGAGTGCAACGGCTACTTCCCGACGGTGGGCTCCCCAGAAGCCCGCGAAGCTGTCGCGACATGGTGGCGCAACTCGTTTGTCCACAAGGAAGAACTGAAGAGCACGATCGTGAAGGATAACGTGGTGCTCTGCTCTGGCGGATCGCATGGCATTCTGATGGCCATCACGGCGATCTGTGACGCGGGTGACTACGCCCTGGTGCCCCAGCCGGGCTTCCCCCACTACGAGACGGTGTGCAAGGCGTACGGCATCGGCATGCACTTTTACAATTGTCGGCCGGAGAACGACTGGGAGGCCGACCTTGACGAGATCCGGAGGCTGAAGGACGATAAGACGAAGCTGCTCATTGTAACGAACCCGTCCAACCCGTGCGGCAGCAACTTCAGCCGCAAACACGTCGAGGATATTGTGCGGCTTGCCGAGGAACTGCGTCTGCCCCTCTTTTCGGATGAGATCTACGCTGGCATGGTCTTCAAGGGCAAGGATCCCAACGCGACCTTCACGTCCGTGGCTGACTTTGAGACCACGGTGCCGCGCGTGATTTTGGGTGGCACTGCG